TTCAAGAAGATGATATCTTCACGGCTTTGAATGCAGGCTGAAGCAGACCGTGCTCGTCTCTCATTTCAAGAGGATTATTCATCTCATTTCGAGTTCTCTTCAATCTCCTACTGGAAAGTGTTTTATGGGTAAATCCATACATTTGCAAAATCTGATTATCCCCAAAGTTAAATGCACGATCCATTTGCTTCAAACACCCTCCACCAGTTAATCACCAAACTTCCTACAAGGTTTACAACCTATAAAGTGAGTCACAAGTGGCCAACGATGATCACCAAGACTTGTATGGTAATTCTCAATCATCTCGTCATACCTATCGAATAGGATTCCCCAATAATAATGCAAATAATATGCATTCTCGAGAAAAACATTAGCTCCCCACTTATCCATCTATGTCGCAAGTAATTGATCATCAGCTTCAAAGATTGGATGATACTTAAGCTCCCGAGTCAAAAGCTTCCCAGCTTCCTCCTTGGCCCTTCCTTTCGGCCCCATTGGTGCCCACGTATCGAGAATATCTAAAGACCATTGGCAGTTCCTCAACAAGAAGCACCCAGTATTCAACCAATCTAGTTCTTCTGATCATACACCATTTCTTTCCACCCGTGCATCACAAAATTATGATCCTTAGGACATCTCAGTCCTACACCAAAATTTGTATCATTTTACACCAAATATTGCTTTAAACTAAAATTCATCTCCAACCATTACATCAAAACTTACACCAAATGAACAATGTTTAACAATTTTCTTCTCTTTTTTATTCTTAATAATTTATTTATTTGAAATATTTTTTTATTTATTTATTTTACAAATACATAAATTACTAAATAAATAATTATGTTAAATTAAGGAAAGGATTAAATTCATTAATAAATATAAAAAAATAGTACAATTAGTAAAAACAATACAAAAATGGAAATACTAAATCATGTCACTAAAAAATAGTGCAATGCATTTTAAATTTGAATATTATGATATTACAAAATCGAAATATCATTGCAATTTAATTCTCGAAATTCGTATGTTCATCCTAGAAATGATTGATTAATGTATTTCAAATTTAGATTAATGTATGTATGTCGTTGTTTAATATATATCGTGTTAACTTTAAGTAATCACGTTTATTTTATATATATATTGTACCTGTTTGGCCCCCATAACGTAAAAAAAGTAATGGGTGGAATAGTATTTGTTTGAAAAATGAGTGGTTGAAAAAGAAGGAAAATTTTTCAATTTACGTGTAATATTATTTTATGAAAGATTGTGTGGTTGAAAATTGAAGATAGAAAAATGAAATGTAATGTAATAGGGCTCAAACAGGGGCTATAATTAATTCATTAATTATTATTTTTTATATTTTAAATTTATTTTAAATTTAAATAATAATAATAATAATTTATTTTATTAAAACTATATGGCATAAATGACACAATTACCCTTAATTAATTTATATGGGAAACGAAAATAAATGGTAAAAGTGGCTTTTGTTGACCAAAATTTGGTGTTGCAGTGGAGTTGTTTTGTACCATTTTTTGGCACATTTAGGTGTTTTGGGGAGCATTGGAGATGACCTTATATCTCTTCCCCGGCACCCCAAACGCCATTTCCTTAAACATAGCATCACTATCCATCCACCACAAAAAGTCCACTTCAGTATGGGACAATAATAGCTTCCTAATTAAAGGCAATTTAGCCATTTCAGCATCAAGTAAAGCGATATTGTAAGAAACCTCATCCCATGTAGCCTACAGTAATCAATCTTATTCTTTATAGATTTCAACAAGTAATGATCACCAGCCGGATTCTCACAAGGCTTCGGGGATGAACCGGTGACCAACAAAACTCTAGGCTTTTTAGGAGCAATAAAATTCGGAAAGTTGGGATTCCTTTTAGCCATTCAGCTCTTTGCTGATCCCAATCTGATATATTTGGTCAAAGACTATAAGGCAGGGATGGATCCCTATCATTTATTGCGACTGCACTATTCATTCTAATTCTTCAGTCCCATCATCTTCATCCTTCAATATCTTCCTTATATCAAATTCTGCATAATTATTGCTCCCATTTTCCGTGCCATCAGTCGATGAACTAGCTTTTTGCTGTCTTTGAACAGCCATTGCCTCTTCCAAGACACGGCGTGGCTTGGCCCGCCTACTAATATACGAAAATGTTTCTCGGATCTCATCTAGGTCTTTCTCCGGCATACCCAAATTTCCCAGCACCCAAATTTGCTTGCAAAACGACTACCGATGGCAGAAGCAAAAGAAAAAATAGCGTCAGCTTCCCATTATGCATAAGCCTATGGATCTAGCATGATGCTCGATCGGGACTAAAATGGGTTCATAAAAATAAAAATAGGATCCATAAAAACGGGAATTTTGGGCTTGATTACTAAAACGAAATGGGTTTTTAAACAGTGAGATTGAGAGAAGGGGACGGAAGGAGGAGGGGGAGAGAGAGAGATAATTGTAATTTTGAATAAACAAAACGATTATGCGTAGTAAAGTGAGAGTTTGGTCTAATGTTGGACCCCTGATTTGGGTGTTAGCTTCGGACATGTTTGCACACCGTCAAAAATCGAGATCCTAAGTTCTCAATCTACCGTGTATTTAGGTCTCAATTAATTCTTTTTTGAGTATCACTTATAAAATATTTAAAATTTATCACTGATATTTAAAAAAATTCAAAAATAAATAGACGTTCGAAAAATAAATTATAAGAAAAAATCAAAATAAGCATTTTATCTGCTTTTCCAACTCAACCTTGCCTCCCATTCTCGTTGTTCATTTCCCTTGTTTTTCTCTAGGGTGCATTTGGTACATATATAGTCACAAAAAATAATGATTATCTATTTTATTTTTATCATAAGTAATTACTTAGTAAATGTTTAAAATTTTTGTTTTAGCAATTTATTGAATTTAACTAATGTTATATTAATTGAAGTTCTAAACTTGAAGCTAGCACAACGAATTATTCTTCATATACAATCGGGGATGATAACCTCGATTGACAATGTACTCGTAAAAAAGGGGATCCACGATTTTTTTATTTAGCGTGGGCCCCTCTTACATGTGTCTAATTGTCAACCAACCATCAACTCCGATTGTACACATAGCACAATTGCTAGCACAACTGAGACAATTTTTGCTAATATGGTATTTTATGTCATTATTTAGTAGAGAAACATTTAGTGGCAGTACGTAGGACCCATCATATATTATCGAGTACGTTAAAATATACTTTTAGTTAAACTTCACACAATTTACTTTAAATTAAGATTTTTCCCTTCAAATGAAATACTTGGAAAATATTTTAAAGATCACAGATAAAAGAAAAATTAGTACAAGCTTATTATTTACCAAATGTTTAAACTAATTACTTATCTTCTTGTTTTCCAATCAAATTGAAATCCTTCGCAACACATGCCAAATATAATTTTCAAAATCTTCGATAATCTTAATATTTTTCTAAATTATATCTAATATTTCTGTCGACTCAAGATTATTGTTTTAAAACCAGCCTCGACATCCACCAGAAATAAAGTAAATGGTCAAGAATCAAATGGTTGAACAAGTAATAAGACTGTTAAACAAAATGGAGGGAAGAAAAAAAAATTGAAGTGAACCAACCAATTTGGGAATTCCCAATTTTCCTGATTTTTACAGAAAATTTGTTGGAAATTGAGGCCAATTATTTTTACCTTGAATTAATCTATTTGTACAATGAATTTGACAATGTATAAAGTGTAAAGATCCTAACATTGAATTCAAATACAGTTTTTCAAATCAATGAGTATGATGTCTATCAAGTCACACATTTTACTACGTTCATCAATTTTTACCCTTGAACAATCCACAGCGAGAACAATAAAATTAGAATACTGCCCCCCAGGATACATCCCAACTGGCAAAGATGAGGGCGCTTCAAGGCTGACAGATTAGAGGTCGTGAGTTCGATTTCTAGAAGGCAGATATTCTCCTAGAAGGCAGGAGCTCTACTGGAAGGTAAGATGCAAAGATGGAAAACGACTTGCTTGGTACTTTGCCAGATCAGTTGGGGGGATTCTTGAGTACTGATCAGTTTAGGGCACAACTTGCGATTTAACTTGTCTGCAACTTGAGGGGCCAAGGTGTAGACACTAGGATTTAGTCACTGTAAGGTGGATACTTGGATATCAAAAAAAAAAAAAAAATAGAATGCTAAATTTATAATTTCTCTTAAAATCTTCAGCACACATACAAATTTAAGAAAATAAATGTCAATTTATAGAGACAATTTAACTTAATTTTCTTCCAATGACTGACTATCACAAGATGCAAATTGCCTTTGTGAGTTCTCGATTCTTTTGGTTGAATTATCATGGTTGGTCCAATTTTAACAACATTGTCCAATTTTAACAACATATATACTGTTCAATTGCATAAAAAAATACCAATATCAAATGACTGATGTTTTAACCTGAGATTTCAACATTATCACACTAAGTGCTGCTCAATGTACAGAAAATGGTTCGCGGAATTTTTACGGGCTTACACTTAATGGTTTTTCATTCATCAAATTAAAAAAAAAAAAAAAAAAAAAAAAAAAAAAACGTCCACCACACAGGTGCTATTCTATCACACTACCTTGAAATTATTTTTTTCTAATTTACTTTTATACTTTGACTTTAATTGGGTTTCACAATAATTTATAAATGAGAAAGTATTTAAAAAGTTGAGTGAGATTAGCTCCAACCATGTATTTCATATGTGGATGAAAGGGGACGAATCAACAAAAACGGCTCACCAGAATCAAATTCATAACAAGTCTATTAATTGAGATCGTTTTGCATACAAACTGACAAATATTTCGAGTCAATCCGGTCCGACCCACTTTTATTAATGGGGGCTTCTTTTGAATAAAACAGGGAAAGAGTGGAGACTATTTCGCATCTGCAAAAAAGGAGATTCGGTCAATAAAACTCTTTGCAATGAATGGCAAAGAGCATTCCACACAGCCCTTCTTCTCCCCCTCCTCTACAAAATATTATTCTATTAACAAAAAGTATTGGTTCATTTTGACCTTCTTCCCCCACCATAAACGCCAGCCAAAGAAATATTCTTCTATAATTAACGGACTCTCTCTTCACCATCCATTCTCTCTTTTTTCTCTTCTCAGATTATTCTCTAAATATATCTCTTCTTTGTGCTCTTGAACTTTATGTCTGGTTATACACGCTTTCTTACATCTCTACTATCTCCCTCGTTTTCCCATTCTTCACTTCATCTTCATATATACACGCGTATGTCATGTCTATCTATGTCTATCTATGATATAGCATTTTAAAGCCTTGAGGCATTTGGTGTTCGTTCTTGCTTGCTTCTTGAATTGACTGGTGAGTTGGGTTTCTCAATCTGTGATTTCCTGGCATCTTTTTCTTGTTTAGATCAGTGTATATAATTTTTATTTATTTATTTATTTTTTATGCTCCATATTTGAGTCTCTATAGCTGTGTAATTTGCCTTTGATTGTTTGTTTGAGTGTTATTAATAATCTCTGGACCATGACGTGAAGAAATAAAAAATAAAATAAAAATTTTGCTTTTTCTATTGATTTTTTGTTTTTTATTTTTTTAAGAAGAATGTGATTACAGAAAAGTTTTGGATTTACATGTAACATTACATTCTTAAATGAGGCTCAAATAGGGTAGTATGTTCTATACCCCCATTGTCCTCATAGAAAAGGAACAAATTTATTAATTTAAAACTCATGTTGAAAATAGGTTCAAATGCTGTAAGTGTACAATTTTTCTAAATGTGCAGTGACGAGACTTTTACTTTTTTGCTTTGATACCGCATTGAATCACCTCAAGTGAAAGATAGGCTTCAACAAACAATTGGTTATTTAACGTTGTAATAGATTGATCTTGTTCCTTTTTAAAAGTTGTTGAGTATTGACAAGAAAAGATTGGAATTGCTTGTTTTACACTGTCTGCATAAATTGCAAATAGAGTGTAAATACGCAAGGGCAAAAACCAATCGAAAAAAAGAAATGATGTTACTAAACTGAGTTCCTAGGAATTTTCTTTTGATTATGGATAACAAGATTATTGAATTAGCTCTGTGGTTTTCTTTCTTTTCTCAGCTATAATTATGTATGGAAAAACCGTAAATGATTCAGAAGGAGAAATCAAGGTTAGTTTTGGCTATCAATGCATCTGCAAGAACGATGATTCTCGTGACAAATCAAACGGTATAGACATCCCATCAGTAATCAAACTCCGAAGATCTAACAGTTCCTTCGCTCGTCTGTCCGGGGCTGCAATAAGTGCCAATGCTACATTAGCCAATACAAATATATGCAACGGGTTGTTTGGGGCAGAAATACTGCCGTCTTTGGATTCTCCAAATTCATTCCGGAGGATCCCATCTTCACCAACGATCTCAAAGCTCGATTTTCTGTCATCATCTCTCCAGAGTAGCTTGTCAAACTTTAGTTGTAGTCCATCCCTTACAACTGACACGCTGGATTATGATTCCTTTTCAATTAGGTCCACGAGTGCACCTTCACGAAGCGACAGCTTCCTGAATACAGTGGAAGTACAAGTTGCAGGTGGTGCAGCTGGTGAAGATAGAGTTCAAGCTGTTTGCTCTGAAGAGAATGGTTGGGTCTTTTGTGCCATCTATGATGGATTCAATGGTCGAGATGCTGCTGATTTTTTGGCTGGAACATTGTACGAAACAATTGGATTTTACCTTAATTTGTTAGACTGGGAACTAGAGCAGGAGTGCATTAAAGCTTCTGACTGTATCACCTATGATAAATCCCTTAATTGTATTCTGAGAGATGGTAATTGCATGTATCGTACACCTAACTGTGTGAAAGTGGATAGATCTTGTGGTCTGTTTAAGCAGAGGGTTCTTAACAGCCTTGAACGGGCTCTTAGTAAATCCGAGAATGATTTCCTACGCATGGTGGAACAGGAAATGGAGGACCGTCCCGATTTAGTATCTGTCGGATCTTGTGTGTTACTTGTTTTACTCCATGGGAAGGACTTGTATGTGCTAAATGTTGGTGATAGTCGAGCTGTATTGGCAACATACGATGAAGGCATTGATATGAATGGAATAGAAGGGCTGCAAGCTGTCCAACTCACCGATAGTCATACTGTTGACAATGACAGAGAGAGAAAACAACTTCTACATGATCATCCAGACGACCCCTATACAGTTGTTGCTGGAAAAGTAAAAGGAAAATTAAAGGTTACCCGGGCTCTTGGAGTTGGTTATTTGAAAAAGGTAAAATCTATAGTTTCATGTATGTTTAGGATTATGTGGAGCCTAATTATACAGTTGACCTATCCTTCCTCTCATTCCCCCTCTCAACCCCTAATTATACTATTATATCAGGTGTATTGGGCATTCATCTTTTTGCATTGGTCACCCTATCATCCAAGAAGGTCGTCTCTCTCTGCGAGAGACAAAAAACACACAGAAGTGGAGATCTCCACTGTAAACCTTTCTTCTTAATCTAAGTGAAAACCTGCAGCGTGGAGTAGACAAAGCTATCATGATGAGGATGAACTGCTATAAATATGTGTATTTGCTTTGTGCTTTTTATTGCTCTCGGGATTTGGACTAAGGCCTATCAGTATTTTTATTTTCATAATATTCTATACATAAAGAAAATGCAATTCTTGATTCTACAAAATTACGAGGTCCTTTTTGTGGTTGCAATTTTTTTATCGAGAAATACTTATTTTCACTGATAAATTATAACCTTTCGACTCTTTCTCTGCAGAAAAACTTGAACGATGCTTTGATGGGTATCCTTAGAGTCCGTAATCTCATGAGTCCTCCATATGTATCTGTGCAACCATCTCTCTATGTACATGAAATTTCAGATTCTGATTACTACGTTGTACTTGGGAGTGATGGTTTGTTCGACTTCTTCAGCAATGATGAAGTTGTGAAACTTGTGCATTCTTATATTCTGAGAACCCCTTCTGGCGATCCAGCCAAGTTTCTAGTCGAGCAGCTTGTAGTAAGAGCAGCAGATTCTGCAGGTATTTGTGAGTTTCTTTCAGTTATTCGGAGAAATGTCTCTATTTATCATTGATTAGTACTTCTGTTTTTCCAGGATTCAGCATGGAGCAGCTGATGAGCGTTCCTGCTGGTCGGAGACGGAAATATCATGACGATGTTACAGTGATTGTGATAGTTCTGGGCACGAACAAGCGCACCTCAAAGGCTTCAACATGTTTATGAATCTCAGCTTCAAATTCCGCCCTCTGCAACTTTCGTTTGCTGGCTGTTGTCTAGAAAATCTACAGATTAGGGATCATTACATAATTGGATCACCTCACTATATATTATTTTCATGGAACGTGTTCTCTATGTATCTGTAAACACTAGTGAGCCTTTATATGAAATGCAAAAATTAGTTATAACGTTCAAGGAATTTCATTTGATGCAAATTGGTATGAATTATCTTTCTTTCCTTTTTCTCCCCTTTTTTTTTTGGCCCTTAAGAATTGAAACTTGAAAACGTCGAAGTGTAAGCTATTAAGAGAGAAAAATTTTATTAATTTAATTTTTGTTTTCATCGACCTATGCATATGCCATATGTTTTTCCAATCCAACGCCACCTAACACGTGCACAATTTTCATAAACTGTGATGGTCAGATTTGAACTCTCTGATTCAACACAACATGATAAAATTAGATGGCATAAACAAGAATGCCAAGAAAAATATAAAAAATGGCATTACAGGACAATCATGCAAAACATGTCATTACCTGAAGGAATCTAAGCTATTACCAACTTCATTATTCCGATCTCGCTAAGAAGATACAAGTTTCATCATACCTTGTGCATGGATAGCTGGTAGATTAGTCTTCCCCTTTTCTTCTTCATTCTCTGTGAGTCTTCGTTTTGTAAGTGGAGATCGTGCACAAATTGTCAACGTGAGGTTTTGATAAAGCTTATTTGTAAAATAAAGAAAGATGGATGAACAGAATTGATAGTGTTGTGGTGATAGGATTTAGGCCAGAAATTGAAAGTGAAAATTTTTTTCTAATGGTCAGTTTTCGTTTGTCTAAAAATTCGAAGGAAATTTTTAAGATCTGATCCCATCTTAAACAATAAGTCTCATCAATAGTGAAATTTTGAACAAATCGCGTTTTCTATCATGGAGCTCTTTGACTATCAAAGTCGTGTCGATTTATACAATTTACTAATTATTTCAAAGAATTATGTACAACAATACAACATCTTTGGGGCATAATGCATTTGAGGGCTGTCATGAATAAAAACAAGTTCTATCTAATTTCCGATTATGAATTATGATACTCTCGGAAATATTCTATGCCATTTTCTAGGCAATTTCTTGATTATATTCCACATTCCACACCGCACGAGGTAACAATTGAATAGTAGTGGTAAAGATGAGAATATCTAAAAGGAAAGATAAGGAGGAAACTGCATTTAGTATTAACGACAAATACAAAGATCAATCATGCTACATTAACATCAAGGTTGATATAAAGTTTGACATAATGTAACGTGACATTCTATCATTGGACAGTTTAAAATACAGTCAACTTTTTTCATCCAATTATCAATTGCCACATGCAATTATGTCAAACTTTTTGTCAAATCATTCTGACAAAGAAGCTTTATTCTACAACGATTTTGGGACACACCATACAACGTAACCAATGAAAAAGTCGGCCCCATTTGGTCCTCATTTACTTGGAAAAGAGGAAATTGTAAAAAATGTCTATTTTTACATGGTCATTTGTAAAAATATCCAAATTTTGTTCAATGTCTATGTTAGTATATAATTAAATTCCAAAATGAGAACAAAATCGTTCATATAATTAAAAATTGATTAGCCAATAATAATTCGATACATAACCTATATTTCTTATTTAAAAAAGTACCATGTTAATCATGCACCAAATGTTCACTTCTTTATATAAGTGAATAAATAAAACATTTATGAAATATAAAGAACTACGCTTAAAATGTCAAGAACTTTATGAAATGTAGAGAACTCTTATATTTGTAACGAGATTTCGTTGTAGAAAAATGAAGTGTCAAGTGTCAAGATAAAGGGTCCAAATGTCGATAATAACTTTTAAAATGTTGAGAGCATCGTGAAATGTCAAGAATAAAAACTATTTAACACAACTTATCAACAAAAACAGTATTTTGAAGAAAAATTACATTTTACCGAGAACTGTGGAGAGCCTAATCAACTTGCAAATTTGGCTGAGATTAAGTTTTTCGAAATAAAATTATATAATTTTCCTATGAATTGGAGGAATATAGTTATTTTTTAGTGTTAATGGCTTTTCTAATTCATCTTCTTCAATTTTTCTCAAAATCATTGGTCAATACCCAACCCCTATTTGGTGAACTTAAAATTTAAAAAACATAATTTTAAATAGTATTTTTTCAGAGAAAATGTGGTAAAAAAGTAAGAAAATTTTTAAAATTTACGTGTAGAATATTTTATTTTTTGAATGTGCCATTAAAAATAAGTATAAGAAATAAACTAAAGTAAAACAAAGGGAATCAAATAGAGGCTTAATAGATAATGAAAGCAAATGAATCCATTAGATAATATCAGCTAAAATTTATGTAGTTTTTTATGGAAGCTATTTTTTCTTCTTGAAATTTTTGACAAATTGAAAAAAAGAAAAAAAAATTGAAATTGCTTCATTTTTCATTAAGGGTATAATAGATAATTTGGTACTAAATATGGCCATTTTTGCAAGAATTATCAAAAGGATAATTATATTACTACTACACATTTTATTAAGTACACCACAATTTTCTTATTTACCTAAATATGCTTAAGCAAAATTATGTAATTAGGATTCTAATATACTTTTTAATTAAATAAATTATTTTTACACCACGAATATAAAAACCTAATTCATTTCTTTCTTTTTCCTCAACGTCTCACAGTTCATAACTTTTCTAGCGCTTTTGTTTCCTTCCAGGGTGGTAAGATAATTTTCCTTTCCTTGTGATAAATGAATTTATACTTTATTTGATCATGATTTACTGATGAATTTTTCAGTTTATTTGTGAAGTTCGAAAATTAAGAATCTGATTATTTTTTTTCAATTCGACCAAATTTATTATGAATGTAAAACAATCAAAAGCTTGCAATTCTCTTATCTTCAATTTATTATGAATTTAATGCAATTATTTTCAATTTATTATTTATTACGTTTCATATCAATTTATAATAAATTCGCATGTATTTAAATACGATTCTTCCCATTTTATTTTTTTTTAAGTGAGAATGGATTTATATGCAATTATTTTCACGTTTTGTCAAATTTGCATGTAAGATGATGATTTTTAATTGTCAAATGGTTTTATGAATTTGTGTGTATATACTCATCATAATGTCATGAATTTGCGTGCATTCACTATGTGAGAGCATACCCTGGAGCTATTCATATGTACTGCACTAGTTATAACGGTTCGTGAATTTGTATGTATGTAGGTTTATGAATTTCGATGCATGCATTATCATACATAGAATTCCCTAATTGAATTGCTTGTAAGAACATCCCAAGAAACTCATTTGAGTTCATTGGATTTGCTCAGCTCCCTCCAGGCCGATCCTAGGGCTAGACAAATGAGGCCTATGCATCAGACCCAACATCTAGGGAGCCTCACTTTGGGCCCAGAATTTTATTTTTTTCTCTCTCATTCACAATTGAACTTGAACCAAACCCAATAAAATCACTACTCACAAAAATCAAGTGCGAATTCCCTAATCTGATAGATACTTTACAACAACAAATTTGCACTTGTTATTATTAATTTATCCCTTGGTTACATTCTTAATAAGCGTAAAATGGAAATGAACATCACAACATCGACACCCATTCAATTTTTCAGTAACCCACCATGACAACAGCCAGAGTTGTAAATACAATGTTCACGCCATTTTTTTCTTTTTTTAATTTAATAATTTCACCAATTATTTTCACATTCATGTTACTTGTACTTATGGAATAATTATTTTAAAGGTGAGAAGGGGTTAAATAGGCTGAGAGTATTTTGCCTTTGGTTTTTTGAAAGAAAACCATATTTTTGAATTAACGAAGCAACTGACTATAAGTGGATGGAAGGCGTTTTTCGCAAAGAAATGTATAAATAAGGGCAAAAATGTCAAAAGAATGGAAGATAAGAATGTTCTTCACAATAAACTCAAAATGTAGGAACATTCTGAGCTAATTCCTACATTTTGAGCTAATTAGTCCTATAGAATAAGTTACAGCAAAAGAAATTGGACTGTTCCAGCTTCTTCTAGACTTTGCTGCATGTGGAAAAATTCTACAAATAAGAAGAAATAATTTGGATGTCGTGACTTCTTCAATTTTGTTAGTATCAAATATTAAATTGTTAAATTGGCTTGAGTATATTTCATTATAAAATAAAACAAAAAAAAAATTGGTTTAAACTCAACAATAAATAACAAATCAAACCGAAAAAGTAAGCAAAACAAGAATCTATTACCAGAATTTGGAATATCAGGATGACGAAAGGCCTTGATTTCTCATAAATTAGTGAATGCTGGCAACTGCAGTTACTGGTGGTGACAGAGGGGCCTTGTTTTAATAATAGATCACGCTACAACTATAGACAAATTTGACAAAAAATTTTGACAGACACGCGGCAAAAATTAATTGGAAGATAGAAAAAGAAAACAACTAATAATCCAATCATTTGTGACCATGTCGGCATCGACAGAAATTCCGTCAAGAATTCCTGCACTCGTGACTTTTTCCTTTAATCATTAACACTGAGTTAAATTTAATGAGTAATCAACAATTTTTACCTTGAAAATCTTGCCTCAAGCTATTTGTATCACTAACGTTTGACACCCATTAATTGAAATTATAGCGTTGGAATAATATTTTTTTGAAAAAGTACTTAAAAAGAAAAAAAAATTGAGATTACGTGTAATATTAATTTATTAGAGAATGAAGAAGGGAAAGAAAAATAAATTATAATTTTAATGGGCGCCAAATAGTGGAAAATGATAAATGTGTAACGTCGTGTAAAAGAGAATGAGCAACCAATAACACTTTCTTTTTCTTTTCTTTTTTTCGTTATTCCATTTTTTCCTCTTTTGAGGGAGCAAATGTTGGTGATTACTCATCGGAATTCCATTCGACACATGAAGTGGGCAAATAGAATTGGGACTGAAAATGAATGGGTAATATTGTGTAAAAGTCACTTGCACCATTTTGATGCATATTATGGTGTTGGGTTGGAAAGGGGATTCCCCATATTTTTTTATGCAACAATGGGAAAAAATGGTAAAATGTTGCAGGGACAGAAGATAAGTATATTCCACCCGGAACGAGGCTACAATTGTGAAAGCAGTAAAGATGAGAAAAACAAAAAGGATTGCAGTTACAATTAAAAGACAAATACAAAGATTTTAGGACACACCATTGACCATACGCCATAACCAATGAAAATTTTAGCCTGTTTGATCTTATTTTCTAAAATTTATTTATCTTTAAACTCATTTTTATTTACACATTCTTCTAATAAAATAATCGTACAATTGAATCCATAAATTTTCATAAAATCTTATAAAAAATTCTCTCCTCATTTTTTCTATAAAACGAAATGTCCTCCAGAGTCTAAATTCATTTAATAGACAGGACTACAGATCTACCAATCACCACTCACAAAAGTCAAGTGCGTATTCCCCACAGTTACTGCTTTGTAAATACAGTACCATAATACACATTTATCCTAGTCCAACCAGGATTCTAATTATTATTTTCTGTTGCTGCACAATATTAACTTCATGAGATGATTATTATATGTGTTTGATGGTAAAATTAAGCTGTACTTTGCAAAATACACGAAAATAAACTATTACAGAGCAGGATAAAGGATTGTGGCATTGTCCGGCCAACATATTATATTTGCCTTAACGGGGTAGCCTCTTTCGACTCAGTATTTCTTGTTCTTTAAGCCGATGCTGGAACCTAGCAAGACGAGCCTGAAGGCTGACCAGACCTGCTGCTTTTCGTGAGAGCACAAAACTCAACTGAGTTACGTAATTCTCAATGTGGCTGCCTGGTTGGTCCACTTCTGCTAATAGTTTCATTTCCTGGCATTCAAAAGCTAAACAAGTTAATTTCTGTACTGTATAATTTTTCTTCTTCGACTTTATAATGTGTTTGTGATTTATTTTACATGAAGCTAATTTATTTTCTTAAGGCGTTCTTTGAGTTGTGATGTATTAAACAGACATTACCCTCCCTAGGAAGCACCTTATTACAGAAAAATCAAAAAAGAAAGCTACACATAAAATTCCATCTACTCCCAATCCCCAAAAGTAAAAGTAAAATTAACCTATGCAAACTTACCTCGCGAACAATCTCCATTGTATCTTTGATTTCTTTTCTATGGGCAGAAATCAGGGCTTCTTCTTCCTATACAGACAGTAATAATGAAATTGATAACCAACAGGCACTTAACATACTTCCGGTAAAACAACTATAATCATTCGAGAAGCAACACATTCAAAACTAACCTCGAGTATCTCATTAATACTCCCATCATGAGGTGATTGTTCATACTTTTTGGGCGTATTTTGCTGCTTATAACTAGTGTTCGAAGTATCAGAATTGTCACCATCTTTTTTCGGCTCATTTCCTGGATTTTCAGTCTTTTCATTCCTGTAAGCTTTTCGCAGAGGTGGAGAATTTTTCTGCACCTTCCCCTCTATATCAGCTGAATTTTGTGAGTATGCTGATGAGTACGTTTTCTGACTAGCAGAACCCCTGAAAGTATTTTTCACATCAGGCCCGTCCCTGTCCAAACCACCAGCAGTAATCCCATCTTCCTTGCGGTCATTATAGGTAAAACTTGAAGAAACACTAGAGTGTTGCTTCTCATCATTAGTAGAGACAGCATAAGATGGATTTTCCTTCTCTACAACCCTTCTATCTGTATCCACTACTATAGATTCTTGGAGTTGCTCATGAACATCCTCTGTATCAGCAGAAACAGAAAATGATGGTGCTGTTGAAGATTCTTTAATGCTAGGTGGCACTGAACTAGTCTGATCCTTCCTCAGGTTTCCACTTTTGGAAAGACTTTTAACCCTGTTAATTAATAGACATTTATCAGCATAACCCATGACCAGTGTATGTGTTAATCAACTCAAAAGAAAACAATTTTACCTGTCAGCATATCTCAGAGTATTCAGAGTATGCTCACATGAACCAGCATTTGGAGAAATGCAAGAGATCATAACAGTCCTTGAGTTGCCAACAAAGGAGTCACGAAGCACCTCAGTGAGTTTGCTCCCACGGAATGGAATGTGAATCTGGTCATTGTCAAGAGCACGAATACACTCCTTGAGAGCCAGAAGACTCTTGTTAATTTCTGCTCCTTCAATCCTGTAAACCAACAAAAAAGTGTATCTCAAAATGCAAACAAGATTCTAAGAATCAGTAGATAGCTTGTGTCAACCGTTCATGAACTAAAGGGTGCTAGGAACAGAAAGAATCATTCAACCAAATGGCAGAATACTCTTTCTCGGAAAACAGTGAAAATCGATGGAAAAGTAAAGTACGAGGAAAAACATGACAGCCTAGCCACCAAAAAGTTCATAAAAGACACAGGCCATTGCAAGTGAGTGTCTGCAAGAATTGATACCGTGTCTGTCGGTCATTATCAGTTGTGTCAGCACCTCTCTCACTACCAGCAAGATCAATGAAAGAAATCTTTCCAACAACCCTCCCACTCCTGTAATCATTTCCGTCATTATTTCGCTTAGATTCTTTCACCTCATTGTGCTTCTTCACGGCCAGTTGCAATATCGCATGTGATCTTGATGACTCCTCATTAGCACCAGTTGAACCTGTACTTCTTGCTGCATTTCCTCTCTCAATGTATTCTTTCACAATTGGAACATCCGAGACTTCAAACTCTTGTAGTCCAACAATGCAAACTTGTTGCCGGCCATCTTCTCTCATACAAAGTTTCCTGTGTATAAATAGAAATGATTACCATAGAAACAACTTTTGAACACATCTGGCAAGTGTTTTGTTTTGTAGTTGGTCTACATAATGGATGGGCGATGCCTTCGTTCAACAAATTAAAATTATTTAGGAGGCACCAGCATAGCAAGTCTTTTAGAGACTCCAGTATTTGAGAAGCATTTATGAATTTAAGCTGTGTAACTTCTGCCAAGGACTAAAATAATCAAGAATTTCAACGAGTGAAAGGAAACAAAGTCCAAAATGAATAGAATATTAACTTCCTTTCTCCAAGAAGATCAAACAATTTTCCTCCATATATCTCAAAAAAGCTAAGCCACAGCTTGAATCTTTGATTACGATATATAGGCTGATGCAACAGTCTAACAAGGTCTTCTGCAGCTCTAAGAGGTAATGGCTGCATTGTGTATGTCTTGCCACTCCCTGGAAAGAATGAAAGGGAGAAGAATGAAAATTGAACTCGGTCATCCAAATAAAAATCCAGAACTTATGACAAGACTGACAGAAAGTTAAGTGCAGAACATTGGTCTCCCTAATTTACTATGATCACCCTAAATCAAATCATTTAGTCTTGACCAACATCCTAATGCATTGCAGATGCCATAATTTAGGCAAACATTAGCTTTCTGCAAAATAATAAACAAAAATGAAGAGCGAAAAGAGAATTCGCACACCTGTCTGACCATAGGCAAAACACGTTGCTTTGGTGCGTTGAAAAATGGTGGGGATAATTGGCTCAACAGTAGCACGGTACACCTGATCAAGCAAAACATAAGAAGGAAAAAAACTTAATGAGAACAATTGACAGAGGCGATTTAATCAATCATAGCAATAAAATCCCTTGTAGTCCTACAACTTTTAAACAAAATTACAATTTAAAAAGGAAAACTAAGGACTTTTGCGGATATCTATAACCATGATTATCACTGTAATGTGTAGTAGATGTAAAACAACAATTTTCACGCTTAAGTTTATTATCAATTAAGATATCACCTCATCATTTGTCACATGCTCATCTAGAACGGCATCAAAACAGAACTCATGTTTCTCCACATAGGCAGTCAGGTCCACCTTCAATATTGATACTCAAAATGTAATGTCCTCATAATATAAAGGATATCCATTCATATCCAATTTGCAAAAATCTAAGTGTATAGTATGATACTAAAAATTCTTCCAGACCTTTAATTTGGTTTCATGGACAGTCAAATAGGCATCATCATAAACAGTCACGATGTCATCCTCTTTACGAGAAATTTCCTTTTTATTCAGAGGCCTTTTGCGCACCTGAAACAATAATATATATATATATATTAAAAAAAATCATTTTTTGTGGCAGTTGTAATACATCCATCACACAACACCAACACCAAAGTCAGGTAATTCAGCAAGAAATAGAGTGGGAGAGTTAAGCAACATACAACAACTTTAATTTTGGCAACATTATTTTCTCTCTCTTTTTCATTTGCAGGTAACCCAGTGGGAGGATCGGCATTGGTTTGCTCCTTCTGCAGCCCACTGGTTGTCAAGTGAAAGTCACTTTCAAATGAGTTGGTCACAGCAGGCATGAAAGGTGACGGCTCAAATGGCTCTGAGATGACATGCTGAATAATAAACAAACGAAACCATTAATTATTGGGGGGAATGCCTTGCTATTTGCAACAAGTAAAATAAAATTTCTCCAAAAACAAAATATGTGCGACGCACATCAGATAAAAGCTCCATGTCATCCATAGAATGTAGATCCAAAAGCCCAGCTCCGAAATCCCCCCTGAAGTCAGGAGAATAAAAGCTCTCTGATGCAGAAAATGCAGTTGAACTTTGGGCAGTCGGAGTATAAGGCTCAGAACCAGTTTCAACGTTAAAGTTGAGATTCCTCATTAATTTGAAAAGTCTTTGTTTCTCTTCTGCAGACTGCGGTCCATAACCCTACAGAGACCATCAATACTCTCCCCATTAGCCACGACTCACATGCCAATCTATGTATAAGGACCAATTCAATCAAATTCACTCATCAAAAAGAGAAGCAAAATTCTGACAATCTTAGATGATACGCATGAAATACCAGAAGTCTAGATGCAAAGCAAAATCAATGTATCCTTAAACAGGTTAATGTTTGAGCATTATGATTGTATAAAGCCTTTGTCACCAAATTGAATCTTTATAAACTATTCTAAAATATATAGTCCTCAAGAATTCATTTCTTGATAAAATAAGTCCTCTTCTCTTACAACATTTTGAATCACACCCACCCATACAGATATGGAGAGCCATTTCACATCAAACTCACCCACCTAAACACATAGGGAGAGTGAAAGTAAATGTATATTGAAACCAAAAAGCATGAAATAGTTTAGGTTACTGCAACTTAAATTTCTAACTCGAAATTTTCACACTTCCTCGATATAAGTGCTAATATAATTGTAGCAAAAATACAGTCCGTCCAATTAAAAAAGATGAAAAAACAAACAAGAGTAGATAGCATCATAGCAATAAAAAGGAAAAGCAGTACCTGCATCAGGAGGTTAGGTAGTAAGCGATGATCAACTGCATTGGATGACATCGGAGAGGCTAGATGCTGCAAACCAGCAGACTGGAGCCACCGAGCCTTCACGGCATCGCCTGCATCTCCGCCGGACACCCCGGGTCCTGGGTTCTCGTACAGAGAAGTGGCTGCCGCCGCATTGCTCTGCTGCATCTGGCCACCCATGTGGCGCATTGATCGCTTTTGCGGAGCCAATTTTCAAGATCTAATTTTCGACACTCCAGATGGAAACCAAAAAAGAAACAAGATTCAACAAAACAACCAAAAAAAAAATGTCCAACTCCAAATAGTAAACATAGTAATTTAACATTACGAATTAACATACAGGTAGTAAAAAGTGCGACTCACAAGAAGGGAAATCTGGAATTCCAAATCAGATACAAGCATCAACGTGAGTCACACACGCAACTGCAATCCAATTCGATCGAATCAATCGATTCTAAATTCTGAAATGCCAGATAGTTACCATCAACAAAAATTCCAAAAATCACAAGGCATTTCAACAATAATTATTAAAAAAAAAAAAAAAAAAAAAAGATAAACATACCAACATAATTGAACACAGAAATTTATATATACCTACATGAACAAAATTGAAAACATAATGCGAATAGATCTGAAAATTCAAAAAATGAACCCTAATTTATTGAATTAATGAAATTTTGAGAGATTGCTTAGAACAGTTGTAATGGAGCGCTTGATGATGATTATTACGGGAGTTTCTTTTGCTTTACTTTTGTTACAGACAGGGAAATTATCTCTCTGCATTTATATCTATCTTCCCGTTTCTACGTGTTTTGTTGGAGTTGATTGTCCCGATAGTCGTTGAACTAATGTCCATTGTTTCTATAAGTCACTAAAATTTAAAATATCGAATTTTGACCATTAAACTTATCAAAATATTGCCGTTTACTCATTATCTTAACATCCATTCTTTAATGTACTTAGACACATGGCTAATAGAATATACATGTGGCGTCTTGTGATGCTGTTAATAAATTGTTACATCTTCAATTGCTCGTCGAATTTTTAAAAAGGTCTTCGATTCTGATTAATGCATGTTTGACCTACATTCTTTAAAAAAAAAAAATACATTCTTAAATAGTGATTTAATATCATTTCAACACATATTCTTCAATAAAATAATATTACACGTAATTTTAAAATATTTTCTTATTTTTTAACCACACATTTCCTATCAATACTATTTAAGCGTTCTTATAAAAATAATGTGGCTCAAAAAAGGACTAAACTTTGAAAAACGTTTTCGATTCTAACTAAACTTTGAAAATTATCTTTGATTTCTCAATGAAGTTTATGCGATTGAATTTTGGCCGTTCAATTTATAAAAATGATGTCGAAATATTGTTCATTAAAAAATATGTATTGCAATTGTACGGATCGCGCAAAAGTAATAAAGCGGACAGAATTTGAACAGTTAATTTCACGAAAATTGATTACTCAAGTACACAATAGTTAAATTTAATTTTAATATATTTTCATCATTTGAAAATTTCAAATTTATTGTTTGTCTCATTGTTAAAATTAATTAATATTTGAATTTTGCAACGAAACGCACAATAAATTTAATTAAAATTTGAATTTCATAACGAAACACACAATCCATTTCTCGGAGGAACCAAAAGTGAATGAAATACATTTAATTAAATTTATTGTATATTTCGTTGTGAAATTCATTTATTAATTTAATTTTAACAACTAAACATATAATAAATTTGAATTTTTTAAATGATGAAAATAACTTAAAATTCTACAAAAACATGTTAAAATTAAATTAACTATTGTGTAAATTGAATAATCATTTCTTGTGAGGTTGAAAATTCGAATTCGTTTGTCCACTTTATTATTTTTACGTGACCACTGCAATTGCGGTATATATTTTTTAATGAATAATAGATCGATATTATTTTTAAAAATTTAGTGGCCATAATTTGACCACCTCAAAGTTCAGTGAGCAATCGAAAACATTTTTCAAAGTTTCATGAGTAATTCGAAAACATTTTTCAAAATTTGGTGAGCAATCGAAAACGTAACAATTTGTTAATGACGTGATGTGAGATCATGTGTATATTCCGTTAACCACGTATCTAATTCCATTAATGAATTGGAACAAATATTAAGGTAGTTAGTAACGTTCAATGTTTTGATAAGTTTAATCGTCAAAACTTGATATTTTAAAATTCAGTAAGCAATTGAAAACATAGATAAAAGTTCAGTGACCATTGGGACTATTAACTTGTTTTGCTGAGACAGTGTATCATTTTAAAGGAAATTCTCAATCTCGTCCCCAACCTGTGAAAAGTGTAACAAATCTATCCTCAATCTTATCTTTTAGCAAAACCCATACCTACTTTGCAATCATATAACAAAATTTTGTCAATTCTCCATTTTAGCCATTAATTGACAGATTTGTTATTTTTTTTTTATAGAATGTAGCTCAAATAGGAACTAAATGCATATTATCATATAAAAAAATTAGGAAAAAAAATCATCTTATTCATCTTCCCCAACCAAACTCAATCACCCAAAAGAAAATGTTTCCCACATTACTTCAATGTACACCTAATTTACTAGTAATGCTATTTAATGTTAATCGCCCACCTAGGTAGCAAGCCACATGGTTTAGTGGATGCATTTCAACTTGATAGACAATCAGTCCTCATTAGAATAAATAATTTTAGAAATTATAGCATGAAAGATTAATGTTTCAATTATTTAGCGCAAAAGAATCAGTAGACGATTGCATCAACATAAACAATCAACGTAAGTTACAAATAGCATTATTCAACTTGAAAGTATTAGTACCGCAACATAAGCTAGTAATGATTCCCCCCAAAAATAAATAGCTGGAAAGAGCATTCCCATGCAGCCCAACTATTTAGTTCATTAGGGTATGTTTGGGGCAATTTAAATCGTAAATTAAGTTGACTCAAATATCATTTTTAACTTCACATTTTTCGAGATCCCCAACAGTTATCAATTTTTTATATGACTTGCAACTGATAATCTGAAAAAGTGAAAGTGCTAGCTAAAAAGTGGAGGTAAAACTCTTAGTTCTACATCAATTTAGTAATTAATTATCAAAGAGATCCAAGCAACGAAATACGGCTAATAGCCAATATAAAATGCTTAATGCGTAGGCGGCAATACATTTGGAGTGAAATGAAAAAACAAACACATACGTGGGGGAGCCACAAGAACACGTCCTCACTTCACTCAACGACAGCACCGTTCTGAAATTACGATTTGGTCCTTGAAGAAGAGTCACCGAAATTTATGATCCATTAGACATGGCAGTAGGAAGCACAGACTCCAAAAAGTACTCCAAGTGGGAGCTGACATTTTGCATGTACTAGTTTCAGGGTTATCAACTCTGCTAACTTTGGATTCTTCGAGTCATTTGAGTAGATACTGTCACTTGTATTTATGTGTTGGGACCGAGAGGAGTGGGTGTATTGGTGTAGTTCAATAAAAAAAAAAAGGTTTAACCCCAACTTATACAAGAAGACATGGAATGATTCGAGATCGGATGCGAACCTATAAATTTTACTCTTGCCGTTGGGGTTGGGGCGATAAATTGCAGCGTAATATCAGTAGGTGTTCAGTTTAATGTGGTATCTATAACTATTTATTTGTGAGTTCTTCTACAAGGTCATACAAAATTAGATGTCAGGTTTCTTGAAAGAATTAACTTGCTTGAACAAGCCCAAAAACAGGGCTAAATCCAGGTGCCGAGGTGGCAACACCTCGGCCCTTGCATCTGTGAAAAAAAAAAAAAAAAAAAAAAAAAAAAAAAAAAATGTGAAATCTAAGTAGCACGGCTGTTCTTGAAATTTATACAGTCCATGTACTGTAAAATCTAAGTATACTTTATGTCACTGGTGTGAAACAAACTAATTTGGAGTTGATATAATCATTGAATCCGTGGTATTACAGAAAACCATGGCCTGAATAGGCTAAGAATAGCAAATTGCATTTTAGAATAATTTTCTTTTGTTTCGCTTTCGAGTACCAAAAAGATTATATATGCACGTGAATCAAGCTCTAGTCTACCTTTGTCCATGACCACGATTGAAATCGTTAAAAAAGCTGAATGATCTAAATTTAACAAGACTTAAAGTTTTGTCAAAGATAGTGTTATTAGCATCTAATTGGACCAACCTCGAAGCACATAATAAAGGATGGTATCAATTTGGGAATTTTGGGTCCATTCCTTTTCCAAATACACACGATGTACAAATGCAGGGAAAAGGATATGTTAAGGAATATATGGTACAAAGAAACTCATACAATTAAAGCACAGAGTTATTATCAAATTAAAATTTGTCGATGCCTTCTTTTTATGAACAGTCCACCCCTGAATGATGAACTTTTCAGTGATTATCTAATTGAGCATTTCTTTCTTGTCTACCTCTACGCATGGGAAGAATTCAAGATGACCTTTTGGGGTTATAGTGGAACCCACAAAGAAAATGAAGCTAGTGGATCTCAAATGGAGCCATTGCAACTTTCTGATGCAGCCTAACTTATCACGCCTTGAAGTTCACTTCTTTTGAATAAAAGTATTGCTTTAACTTAAAGCAATAAAGCTAAGGAGATTAGACAATAATTAAAAGTGAAAATTTGAATTAAAGTTCCATCATTACTTGACTTAATATGTTGGCTCCAGCCTAAGATTTCTTGATTAAGGTCATATTTTGGCTAAAATAATGTTATTTTCAATGATTCATTACAATAGTCGTCCTACGTAACATATACATAGCCCCCAATTGCCCCCCATTAGTTTCTATTACATTATATAACATTTTTCTCTCTCATATTTTCAATCACACAATCTTTCATAAAATAATATTACACGCAAATCAAAAAATTTTCTTTCTTTTTCAACCACTCATTTTTCAAAAAAATATTATTCCACCCATTTTCAACTCTACAAAATGGGGGCCAAACAAAGGCATAGTATGTGATTATTAGATGTATGGATCAATAAAAGATTACCATATTAATATATCAAATAGCTACCTACCATGTATATGCCAAATAAGACGATTGTTGTAGTGAACAATTACGAATAACATTACTCTTTTGGCTAAGAATTGTCTACAAATCAATAATTGTTTTAAATCACACATTTCATGAAATTCAATACTTAAATTATATTCACATTATAATTTTTGTTAACTTCCGTAAGGGTTCCCAAATTTTTTGCTCGAACTTTATTTCTGTCATATAACATTCAATTAATTAGCATATAACGTATAACAATCGCTGTCCAAATATTTTGTTAGCACAAGAAAATTATTTTGTTGAATTTTTATATTTGTCGTTTATCATTTTTTCACAAAAACATAAGATTAGAAAATGAATCTTTTTGTTCCTTCCTGATAAATTTTTGTATTGCCATTGAGACGAGAAGCGCTAATTAATAGATGCTCTCTAAATTACAAATTATGCTCTTTAAAAATAGAAACTTCGGGATGCTTGCAAAAAACCTTGTTCCAAGTATATACCTGACATCCAAGTTAGAATAAAAGAGACTAGTACAATACCGTAATTCAATCTTCATCGAAAGTGGTCAATCCTAAGACTAGTTAGGAATAAAAATGCTTTCCCTCATCTATTTTTAAGGGCTCAACCCGTATATTCGAATCGATCAAAGTGCAGATACACAAAAATAAATACTAAATGTTCATAGTCAAGTCTGTAAACAAACATAAGCAAGTTGCTAAAGGCTTCGGAATCAACATTTTTCCTTTTAAGAAAAAGCAGCCCACAAAAATTATAGAAAGGAATTCTTGAGAATAAGCAGAGGGCACTAAAAACGGCAAAGAAAAAAAAAAAAAAAAACCAGAGCAACAGGCTTTTAACAGCACAGGAAGCACAAAGAATAAATTCAAAATACTGATCACTTCAATCAAAACTGTTATTAATTATCAAGCAATCTAAATTATGTTCCAATATAACAATAGGCAAGATTAAGACGTAGCAATAGTACAAATATCCAAATGAAAACCTGCAATACTTAAAAAGTAGAGGTACGACAAGTACCAAGCACAGTGATCACAGTTCCAATTTTTAACATTTGACCTCCTTCAAACCATGGCCGAAGAACAAGAATGTCGGATCAGTAGCACCTTCCTTGTAGTATGCAAACACGATGGTGCTGTCATCATGCATGCTCTCTCCCACAAAACTACAAGAAGAAGACAAACCTTGATCAGCCAAATAAATCAAAACACCTTTCTTAACAGTAGGAATTAGGATGCACATTCAGAGACCGTTTAGGATGGCTTCATAAAATCCTAAAGTAGATTTTGAAACTAAGAAACTGCTTTTGAATCTATTAGGATAATCTTTTGACGGCACTTTATCTGGTGCTTAAAAGAGCTTCATGAGTAAGCAAACTTAGGAAGTACTTCTACAAAATGTAGAAGCTATCCCGAACAGGCCCTCACGATCGGTATAAAGAACCAAGATTCTGTCATCATCTACTCAATACTTTCGAGTGATATCTCAACCTCCTTACCAAACACGTTAAAAGAATTCTATGCTAAACTTACAATTGGAGGTCACTGAGCTTTGAGAGCAGAAACTTAGTCGCTCCTTCAACACCCTTCTTGAACTCCTCTTGCTTCTCTGCATCGAGCTTGGGTGTCAACAGCTTAATATACTTCTTGATGTATGCAACAAATTGCTTCTTGTCAAATGGAGGTTGCTCCTGTATTTAATAGTCAGGCTAAAGACATTAAAGTCTGCACATAGAATTCAGTCATATATTACGAATTATGCATAGACTAACCTGGAGCCTGAATGTGTCAACGATGTCAACAACCTTGACAGCCGCATCATCAACTTTCTCGTCCTCATCAGCACCTTCAGCAGAAGGGTTTGCACCAATGTCTACATCAACTGCTCCCTGGACAACCCACTGTGATCCACCACAAAAATTACAGCATAAATATCTTGCAAAGGAGAAGTAATGATACAAGTGTCCAATACCTCCCGGAATCATCAAAATAAATAACCAATTAGTAAATAAAGCAAATTGAAAAATGTTTACCAAGTCAATGGACATAACAGTGAACCAAATAACTATATCTAATGAAATAAGTCAAGATCTTTACCTTTCCCTCAACTTCCCAGAGAATCCCATTTACGATTTCCTTGTATGGAAATGAGTCTGAGAGAAGTTCATCACCTAAACAATTACAAATAAGAATGTTATCCGTGGTGAAAACATTAATTGGTATTGGTAAAATTTCTAATCATCAACTATTTCAACAGCATAATATTCCTTGATCACCACATTTATGGAACAAAATATACCAAGAGGAAGCTGAAGTTCCAAACTTATCTTAAATACTTATTCATTTTTATAATATAACTCACACAGAACTTATAAACCACAATTCCACAAGAAGAAGACATATCATCATACAGGCTATAGTGTAGAAGATAACACATTCATTTTACCAATAGCCTTTGGTAGATCCACTATCTTTGCAAGCAAGGCTCTTACCCAAAAAAAAAAAAAAGAGAGAGAGGAATAAGCTTGTTGGATAAATGACATACTAAATCAGCGACAAGAACTTGATCGATAACAATAATACCGTTCAACAAATCAGGGAGAAAAAAAACTTCAATTGTTGCTCCAAAAAGATGTTCACAGCTTAATATTCAAAAGAAAAGCACGAATTTAAATCAGACGAAAGAAAATACTACAAACAAGATAAAAATTTGATCTTTGTAGCACAAAATCGTGTAGTATAAAACAAAAGAAAATTAGATATTTTTCACAGTAAGTCTTAAATAAATCAGCAAAACAGAAAGTTTCAATCTATACCAATACACCGTGAATAATCAGCAATTCAAAATACCAGTAATGACGAAAATTAAGTATGGTCTATTAAAAAAAATAAAATCCCAGCCTTAAAAAACCAAATCTTCACCTCAAAAACCAGTAAATAGTTTAATCGGTAAACCAAAAACCTATAGGGCAGCAAAAAGAAATTAAATCATCATTACAAAATCCCACAAGTAGATCAGCCGCAACAACACAAGATAATAGGAAAGAACGGCTAAAAATCATAGATCTAAAACACTATCATCTAATGCACTGAATAACAATCATCCCATGCCCACTTCATAATATAGCATGTATCCACGGACAGGCCCACAGCCCATAAAAATTACGAAAATAAAAATCACAAAATAATTACCTGTGAGCAAATCTTGGTAGACCAACATGATTACAGAGTTTTAGCACTCGTGTCGCTCAAAGGCTTCAAGAGAGCAAGGGTTCACAAGCAGGCGACAGCCAGAGGGGTAATTATTGTACAGACGACGAAAATAAATAGGCCGAGGGTTTTGAAGGAAGAAGAGGAAGGAGGTCGAATGTACAAATTACCTATAATGGACAGAATTTTTCTCAATTTGACATGTGTGTCCTTCCCCTACCATGTCGGCCATTCACTGTTGGGCCTAGACCATTCTCTATTGGACTTTTCTAGTTATTTCTATTAAAAGCCCAATTGGCAGTAAAGTTAGTCCTACAAAAACATCGGATTCACCTAGGGATGTCAAAATACCAAATCCCTCGCCTCGTCTAAGAGTGTTAAGGAGACGAATCGCTTATCGGTTAGCTCGTGTATGGGATGAGTCATGGATTCTCGTGCAAGTAGGCTCATCAAAATGAACGAAAATACAATTCCAATAAAAAATCGACTTGGACCATCATATGACTCGTCAGGGGCAGATCCAGACCTTTAGTATTATAGGGTCAAAATTTTAAAAATAATTTTTTAAATAAACAACATAATATCAATGAAAATAAGTTTATATGTATTTTAACACTTTGAAAATGTCGTATAATTACATCATTATTAATATTATTAAATAAATTTTGTTACTTGTATAGTTTTGTTTATCATTTCATTAGCAAATACTGAGCTAACGTTAAGTAAATTAAATTGAATATAGAAATTAAATGAATTGAAATAAAACTCAAGTTTTATTCAGGATGTAAATGAAATTTAAATTTAAAGCAAATATAATTCAAAAATAATTCAAATTGCATTTAATCTGTAACGATCCTAAAAAATTTACATCATATTTCATGTAAGACTTCCGAATGAAACGATATAAATTATATTGAAAAATTTATCGTACAAAAATAATAATTAATTGAATTTTTTCAAAGAAAAAACGAGTTAAACGTCTTTTTTGATGCGTACGTTTGATACATATTTAACTATTTTCGATATCCATTTGGATCATTCGATATGAAAACGATGTAGTTTTCGCAACAAACTTTTACATGTAATAGACGATTTGTGGATTCAGATAACACACGATCGCAAACGAATTTTTAAAGTTAGGATATTATCGAAATTATCAAAATACTAGTTTCAAACGCCCTACTTTAGCATGTCATAAATTTTACTATAATTGACCACTTCGATGTCCTTAATAAGTGAAAAATTAGGCCATGAGCACTTTGAAATGGTATTAAGAATGCAATATTTTGACATCATTTGACATCCCGACGAGTACATGAAAGTAGATTGAAAAAAAACAAAAAAAGGACAAAATTTTGTGGGATCATTTGACCCCACATGATTCCATGTGGGTCCGCCCTTGTGACTCACCCACTAAGGAGCAAGACGAGTCACACTTCGAATGAGCAAATTGGTTTCCTTAATAATTCGAAATGTGTCAACATTAGACGAGTCAAACGATTCGACTCGTTCCATTGAACACCTCTAATACTCCAATTAGAAGGGACCGTAAACACGATCTCTGTGAATTCTATTTAAAAATTTAGAAGACAAAATAAAATGAATAGATGAGGATAATTTAATCCCACACAATTTTCAACCTTTCATGTCATTCTTACTTTTATTAATTTTAGACGCGTCTAAATAGAACAAAAATTAAATAATTCTGTAAATTGAGATAAACTCAAATTACTTTCTACACCCCAACACAACACGCTCTAAAATATCCGACGGTAAGAAAAGTAGAAAACAGACCAAAATAAGGAGCATAAGTCCTATTCTACCGTGGCACATTTTAATTGGTTCACTGTTGAACCTATATATATGCATACCTATGGAACGCTACATTTCGTTCTCTGAATCGCTCATGGGATTTCGGATTCTAACCTAAGAGGTAAACATTTTTTGTAATATTTTGTTGGGTTTACAGTTTAATTAAATAATTAGGTTTTATCATCGAACCCCTATAGCTCCTTTTGGTACTGTTTATGTTATTTAACTCGGTTATTTATTGACTTGACATTCAGATTCGTTTTTAGATTTCTTTTTTGTAATAGTTAAGATTATGAATTCCAGATCATGATTTCTTGTACTGGAATTTGTTGTTGTTGTTGAAATTGATGATCTTATGGGATGTTCACTATTTTCAGATTCTGAATCTCCGGATTGAATTTTGGGGAAATTTCGGTTGATTTTTCAGTTGGGTAGTGATTGATAATTTGAAAATCATTATGGATGGCAACAAGGACGAGGCTTTAAGATGCATTAATATTGCTAAGGATGCAATTGCATCGGGCAATAAACAAAGAGCCCTAAAATTTATTGGAATTGCGCGTCGTCTTAATCATGCTTTGCATGTTGATGATCTTCTGGCCAAGTGTGAAAATCTTGATTCATCATCGTCCTCTGGTCCATCTAATAATGTGAGCAATGCTAATGGTCTGAAAGATAAAATGAGGCGGGTTAATAGCAATGAGGTTCAGAATGGGGAGAGGAATTACACGGAGGAGCATGTTCAATTGATTAGACAGATTAAAAGTAAGATGGACTACTATGCAGTTCTAGGTGTGGAGAAACGTTGTTCGATGGAGGATATTAGGAAGGCATACCCCAAAGTAACTCAGACTTATATATACAATTCACATTGAAGTATTACAAAACTGTCCTGAAAATAGTGATAAGCATTCAATTTAAGAAAAACCAAACTACAATTAATGACGTAACAGCATGCTTAATGAAAAGTGTACCAACAATGTAAATCGGAGACAAACAATAATAAAAACATAGAATTGTGTAAAAATGTATAGTCTGTATTAAGAACGTATATTCTGTATCTGCAAATTACCCAGTAAAACTAAGACTTTTTACTGTTTAACTTTCTCATTATCCAGGACAAAACATCCTAGTCTCTTTGTCGGATGCTAGATCTTAATGGCTATGTTTGGTAGCCATTATAATCTCTGTTTGGTGGGCCAATTAAAGTTAATAATTAATTTTAATCACGTATTTTATGGGATCTGCAACATTTCAATAACATATTTTACTAAAATTAATTGAAAATTTGATTTTAATCCCTATTTGAGCATAGGTACATGAAAAGGAAAATATAAAAATAAAATATGTAAAACTTAGGAATGTGCTCCTTGAACTTTAAATTAGTGGGATTTTGGATTTTTGATGTCCTCAACTTATTTAAATATTAAAATTTGAGTAATTACGCAATGAAAAGAATGAGTATGGATGTAGATATCACATGTTACTTTCACATAGCATAGCTAAATGACAAAAATATAAAAGTATTTAACGGTCGACTTTGAGTCATGTGAAAATTGCACATAATTTAGATTTACATAATTAAAACCTGAGGCCATAGACATCGAATACTTGAAAAATTTAGAGAGCGCATCTCTATTTTTCCGTTTAAATATAGTGAATAAGAATGCTCTTTCATTCAATTCATCTTCATATTCATTATTGTGAACATACATGTACTGATGTACAATGCGTACTCTAATTACCTAAATAACAATTCTTTCTTATCCTCGATCGGTTTTATACATTAATCTTAACGTCAAATGATTCAAATTTCGACAAAACTCAACTGTCGGACACTAATATGAACTAGAACAAAGAAAATAACAATTGTAACACTTTAATTTGTACATCATATCGTTTTTTAGTCCTTTGTGGTTATCAATAGGGTCTAAATAAATTAAAACAATTCAATTAATCCCTGACTGAATGCATCATCCAAAGAAAGATAACAAATTTGCTTTAAATTATTTGAAGAAGAATGAGTCTGCTGCTCTGAATTATCATTTCTTACTGCTAATCCTCGTTAAAGTCAGCCAGTGAACGATGGAAATAAGCTTTATCGTCGAGAGAAAAACAACTCAAAGGGCAGGAGGTTTGCGTAGTTGAAAGTTGAAAGACGCCGAAAAAGCTCACTGAATGAATGCTCTTGCGCTAATACGAACAAGAGTGAACGATCTGAATTGTGGGATGTAAAAATACATCAATAGGGGAGCATTTTCCTTTAGAAGGAAGTCTCGTGCAAGTAGTGATGAATGAAGCGGAAGCAATGATGGTGGATTATTGCTATTAGTCCATAAGACTCTCTAACAAGCTTATTTGTTTGGAGAAACATATTGAAATTGTGTTGACTGCAAATAAAATTTTTATATCGGTTATCCATCAAACACGGTCTTAGATTGAAACACGTCGAAATTTTGTTAAGAGACAATGAATAAATTTTTTAAATCGGTTATCCATCAAACATGGTCTTAGATTGAACTTTTGCACTAATGTCTATCTTTTTAGAATCTAATAAGAAGTATAACAGTCGTTTCTACCCATTTATAACAAATGGATGTTTTTTAGGGCTTGGATGGGTGAGTGATGAAGGGTCATTTATCAATCCAGGGATTGGACAGGCTTTTAACATAGGGATCCACAATTCTATTTCGTTGTCTCATGATTATTAATATATTCACTGTGATATTTGATGGATTCCTCGTACCTGCGGTTGTGCTACAAACAAATCTAACCAAACTTACTTTGAGACAACTGAATCACCAAAAATACTACATACAATCTCGCACATTCGAGGCAACTGATGTTTGCATTTTTCACTTTTCTACAACTTTCTCAAAGAATAATCCCATTTGAAATTGAAAAATTTATTATGCCAATATGGAATAAATTGATGGAAACTGCACTAGAAATTCAGATAATTATGATATAAAATTTCTCACAGTTAATTGTCATCCTCCTCTTTCGGTTGACATTATTGATAACTACTCAACTCTTCACATAGGGATGGAATAAAAGCATACAACACTGAGAAAAATAAACAATATGTCAAAAAGTAGTCTACTCCATGTTCATAAACAATACATCTCACTTTACGTGTGGTACAACAGTACAGTCTCTATATACGTCTACACTTATCAAAAGATCCAAGAAAAAGAAGAAATCCCATCAAAGATATACCGTAAAATTATAATCAATCATAAGCAAGAATAGATTATTACCGAAGAAAACGGCTTTTAAGCAAGATCAAAATATCATAAAACAATACAAATTTCACCACCACTTATACGTATATTGTATGTATATGGTAGCTAGTCCCCTGAATCATCATCACCTCCAAAGATGGATACACGGTTGTAAAGGAGGAACAAAACGAGTACAAGAACTAGTGCAACTCCGACCGGCGAGCCACTGACTCGGTGGATGGTATTGGGTTCTCCGGTGGAGAAGATGCTCGAGACGAATGAGCCGCTGTCGGAGGAGAGGAATTGGATGATGAGGAGGAGGATTATGGGGAGGAGGAGGAGCCCAACTGGGCTGAGCAACTCGGCGATGAACTCAGTGAGGGCTTCACCTTGGTCACCGAGTAATGTCGGCACCACTACTACTAGCACAACCACCACCGCCAAGATAGCGGCATGGGGAGGTCCGACACGGCGATCTTCTATCATTTTGTAGTGGTTGTGTGTGTGATTTTCTTGATCTTGTTTTTGTGGGGACTTGACGCTTTGCTTTTGGTTTCTCACTTGTGTTTTTTGTTGGTTTTGGTCTGTCTTTTGGTAAGGAAATGAGTAGACTATAGATGCAATTGGACGCGCTTGTTTGAAAAATAATAATAAACTTTTCAACCAAGGACTGGGGTTGGTGTGGGGTGGCGTGGGGTGGGGTGGCGTGGGAAGGACAAGAGAAAATACTTGCCTCGTGATTTCCTATGTCATGCCACTCGAGTAGGTAGAGTTGTTTGTTAAAAGGTTGAACCCCAACCTTAAGGGTCACCCACCGTTCCTGTCCTGAAATATCGTGAGGGAGGTAAATCGCGGGTTATGCTTCCAAGGGTATAGGGTGGAAGGCTGCTTGTACACTTGCACTTACCCAAGAGCCAAATTCATATTTCAGGATTCGAACCCTTGACAAGGCAGTCTTAAGCAAAATTGGATTTCTCCACCCTCCTCTTTTACCACTTGGAGATGTGCCTTGGACCGCAAGTTGTTTGTTGATTGGTCAGATTATGGGAGCTTAGGCAACTCAATTTATTTTCTCGGATCAAGCTACACCAACATAATGCATGACATGCGATTTGACAGAAGCACACACAACTATAGGAGTCGGCATTTTTTATTCACAACAGGACCCACAACAATTGTGAGAAGCGATCACTGTTTTTATCAAGCATTTTCTGTCACTCCGATTTTATCCTATTTTCTCATGAGCTTTTGGCTTGAAATTTTGCTCAAGTAAGTTGAATTATTTTTATAATTTTCTTTAAATTCTTTTTTAAAAGAAACTTGAATCAAACTTGGGGAGGGAAATTTTCAAGTTCTTTCTCTAGAAAATTTCTAGGAAGGAATATATTTTTCCGCTGCTCTTGTTTTTACCAAATGAAAATCAACGTTAAACATTGTTTTCGTACCGCCATAAATTACATGTAGTACCTTGCCTTTTTGGCAAGGGCAAAAGGGGTATTTAGTCTGTTGACATGTGATGTGGGACCCTGTAGCATCTGGGCTTTGGAGAAGAAAATATCAATGCTAAATTGGATCCATTGGCATTTTTGTTTCACAAGTTAATGATTTTATTTCTACTTTTGATAATTGCAACTTTGAAAAGTATCGTTATCATTTTTTTATTTATTTTTTATTTTTATTGATGAGGCCGCTTAAATTAAATGAATAAATCTCATATGCTCTCATTTTAAATTGATTTAATAGATTTTAATTCGTCTCAATTGATTGAATTCCAATTTATTGTCAAATTTTACTAGTCTATAACAATTTATCATCTATAATCCTCAAATTGGTAGAAATCTGCATAGTTGACAATAACAACATAAGGGATAGTAATGCTTTCGATTTAAAGGTTAGAAGGCATGCCTTTTAATCTTATTTTAACACTTTTATGATGTGACATAGTGGTAGATTTTTATACCACTCAACAATAATGTGTGACATTCATTGAAGTAGTAAAATTTAGAATTAAATTAAAGTTTGATGACCAATTTAAAATCAAATTAAAATTAATTTATCCAACTAAGATAAATTAAAATATAATGACCTAATTGAGATTTTATTGAAAGTTCAACTGCAATGATGCTTGTGCCCCTACACCTTTAGTGTGGGATAAATTTTTTTTTTTTTTAAATAATTAAACTTCAATTTTAATCACACATTTTGATTAATCCAAGAGTAATATTATCAATAAAAAATTGATTTCTAACTTCATATTTCTCGATCCATACTATGAATGCTAATCAAATTGAAGAATCTATCCAGAAAAAATTAAAAGAAAGAAAATGGGGGAGTGGGGACTAACGCCATCATTTTAATTAAATATGTGTTCTGTGGGACAAGGAGAATCCTATCACTTTATAGAATAGATTAGGGTATGTTTATATATTTTTCACTTATTACATGACACTTTCAGTAAATTCTTTTTATTCGAGTTCAATATCACAAATCACAATATTTACAAACATATTTTATACAAACATTTGATGTATTGATTCCTTAAAACATATTTATACTAAAATATACAATTAGTATTTTTGTCTTTAAAAGTACTTGTTTGAAAAGCTGGTAGAGTGGGAAATTATTGTACGGCATTTCAATTGGAGTTAAATCCTGAATACTGTGGAGCTAAAATCCAAAGTGTACTCTTCTTCTATTAAATGCATTAATCGTACTACATACATCATTATTTATACATAAGGAAAATGCTGGTCTGTTAGGGTAGTTCTACCAGGTATTGTACAGATTCCTCACAATGAAATGGCTACATATCGGACCCACATCTAATAAAAAATTGAAGAAAAAAATGCTGACCCACCACATATGAGTTGCCTATAGAAACCCTGTAAGGCCTCAGCCTGGCATTGTAGCATCTTCCTTATACATAATTTGACATTCTCGTGAATTGACATATTCGTAGTTATTGATTTAGCAACATTTTTTCAAACAATGGCTGAATTTTTGACATAACATTGTCAAAAAAGATGTACATATTGCTCTAACAGCAACAAGAAAGAACAAGGTAAGAGCATTTTCAAGTGCAATTGGTAAGAGGATTTTCAGGATTGTTTCTAATGCAACCATAGTTCTCTCAATGTCTCTCCAAGTTACGAGGTAACTATTTTCGAGAAAAAAGCTTTGATAAGTTTGTAACAAAAAAGAATAAAAGCTCACAAATCAATTGCTACTCCATTTAATAGGTTAGTCTTTTAGGATGAAATTTCATTTTCCTACAAGTGGTACGGAGTTAGACGTCAAACTTAACCATATGGATGTACTAGAAGGAACCTCAATCATAGCGGAACAAATGTGGTGGGCCCTAAGTTGAATTGTGATGGTTGGAAAAACTAATCATGGTTTGGCTCTGATGACATTTTGCCCACACAAGGTTGAGGTCTTTAGTGCAATGGAAGAGTCGAGCATTGATACATCATGTAATCCTTCTTGATGAGAAGAAGAGAGGTGGACAGATGGTCATCTGAAGATGGTTAGAAGTGACTTGGTACTTCATCAGAAGTGGGGATTCTATTCAATCATCGTATCAAATAGGCTAGCGTAATGAGACATCATGTTGAATATTAACGAGGACAATCATGTGTTCATGAATTATATTTGAAAGATAAAATTGTTATGATTCATAAAATATGTATTTTGCTTTGCATTTTCACGTCTACGAAAATACTTTTTTATTCGTTAAGTATTAGGATTTCTTAGTTATTTTGTTTGCATTTAATGAATAATTTATTTTTGTACAATTATGTCATATAGGACAGGTTATGCTGCAACTTCACAAGCGGGCCACATAGGAAGAATAGTGCGCCCTCAAATGGCTGGTGAAGAGAAATAAACAGCCCAAGAATATAATGGGCTCAGGCCCGTTCTAAATCTTTGCTGTCAGGCCCATCCGTTGTGAAGCAGAGATTGATCCAGCAATTCATCAAAGGGCCCAAAACCATAAAATTAAGCAACCACAAACCAATTAAATTTAGAGGAAAATATTCATGTAAAATTACAATATTCACTCATAATAGATATTAGGTTGTTATTAAGAAATTTTCTTCATGATCAAGACTACTGGCTTATATTTATATTCATCACAAGGGCCCCAACTATCCAAGCAAAGTCTCTTCATACCTAAGCCTTGAGGGGTTCTAAAAGTATATAAACTTTAGAATCCATCCTATAATTATATGACCTACCATTAGTGTTTCCTAGAAGTAACCCTTTCTCCATGTCCTTTCGGACAATGCTAGGTGTACAGATTTTTACAGACATACACTTGGAGTTTTTCATTTTCTCATGGCAAAAATAAAAAATAATGAAAAAATGTAATCAAATGCTTCCAACATAGCATCTGGAAAAATTCCGTAAGGCATTTTTCTGTACATATGATTTTTTCCCCTTCTCTATCTTTGGTTTTGTCTTCCCCCACTCTCTAAATATAATTTGATTTTCTATTTATCCTGTCGATTCTAAGATCGACTAAGTCATAATCATCAAATCCTTTCGTCCAATGAACAAATGCCACACTGATGATAAGAAACCAAAATCTCATAATGCTTGACAATAAACTTAAGAATCGAATGTCCAACTCCTTTTCTTAGTTCATTGCTAGCTAACACAAGAAAGTAGAATTTTACATCTTCATGATCTACAATTGAAATTGAATAAACAGTCCAGGCTTAATTAAATGGGCAAAAGTACAAACAACACAGCTTAAGCAAGATAGATTATGTTTATAAGATTCCATCCAACTCTAGATTATGACCTTTCAAATGTGTCCTTATGTACCAAACATGTGCAACTCTTTGATAATAATTCTTCTTCCCCCTTTTCCAACTTCTCAAAAATGGATTATACAATGCAAACTGGATTATATAATCCATGCTCAGTCTTTGATACTGACCCATTCTTTAAAATATACCCATAGAAAGACAACAAAAAAAACTAAATAGATCCTTGTCTCCAACCCAAATCCACATTATTGTACATGAAAACCCAATTCACAGGCATGCATAAAGTTAGTAATCATATAAATATAATTCTAATCTCGTCGTTACCCATTTACCAATACTCTATATACATTAGGACTTCGACAAAACATGAATCAGGCTTGCAAATGAGGGGGACGTGCAAAAGACTTAATTTAGATGGATAAATATTTCTCCTATATGAAGTCTTAAGATTCTCGGCGAAACCATACAATAGGGGGAGAAATGCAATGCCTTAGGCATAGCATGAAAAGAAAAAACCTGCACATACAGGTTTTATCTTCACAGGGGCCTTACAAACCCCTCATTGTTTGGTGATGGGCCCCACATGTATTTAAAAAAATGTGGGGCCCATCCCCACTTGTTTCTTACCAACCTGTGAAGTGTAGAACGGTTCGCATGAAAATCATCCTTAACAATCACAAATAGAATCATGAGAGAATTCAAACCAATTAACTCAGACTTATATATACAATTCACATTGAAGTATTACAAAACTGGCCTGAAAATAGTGATAAGCATTCAATTTAAGAAAAACCAAACTACAATTAATGACGTAACAGCATACTTAATGAAAGATAAACAAGTGTACCAACAATGTAA